ATCAATTATAAAGGGTGGAAGTGAAGCAAGGAGCACTATATGTACAAGCATCTCCTATAAAGCAACACACATATTAAAATCCCTATATACTTTACTTCCGTACTGTTAAAATCCAAACATTGGTGCCCATAAACTTCATGAACATCGTTGCACCAGGCGATATGGACATAAGTGGTTTTTGTGAACAATGACGGCGTAATTCTCCGTATAATTCATATGCCTCTAGACAACCGGATAAGGAGGAGATGTGAGGAAGATGGGGCAATCACGTCAGACTAGAATAGGCATAGATCGCATTGTTCTTTTTTCTATTCATTGACGTAGAGAAGCCGGTTTTCTTTGGAAGTTTACCTGTACAAAGTCATGACTGCGCTTTTTTGCTTAAACAACGCGAAAAAAGGAAATAAAACGATTTTAAATTTTTGCTTGCGATGGTTGCTTAATCGCTTAATTTCTAACTTGCTAAACTTCCTGCATGCTGCCACATTTGATTAGAATTGCACTGGTTTGTAAAAGGATAAAAGGAAGTTAGTTCGGAGGTTATGCACCGGATCAAGCTAAGCTTTTCAAAGACACAAATTTAGCGGAGGAAGAGGCCGGAGGTTTGCTGTGTGCCAAAATGCTGAATTACCCTTGGCTGCTTCCAGCCCTTTCACCGCAATCGCAAAATGCTTTTTCCAATACAGTTTTTTTTCAGTTTTGGACGACACTGATGACTGGAAGTGAGAGTAGATGGGAGAGGAGAAGAAGGCAGGGAGATGGAGGTAAATTTTTGGAAAGATCTCGTCTTGCCACAACCATATTTGTATGAACAATAAATGCATCATTTGTAGGTTCAACGATATTCGAGATGATGAAAAACGAGGATCAAAGTTCGACCTTTTAAAAATGTTGGATGTTCTAGTCAGGAATGAGGGTAGCGTAGACATACTAAATCTCGAAAAATTACAATGAAAATTCTATAATGCTAAGAAGTGCCCCTCAGTTCGCGAATCCTAGAGCATCTTCCGCTTTCTCTAAACATCATACGATCCTATACAATAAAATTTCTGGGTATACCGCGAATTTTACATAAGTGGAAAAAAGGTCCGTATGAGCGTGAACCGCAAATGTAATAAGTAAGCATATTCCCGCTTTTGACTAAATCTTAGCTTCAAAATACTGTACATATTCGTTTTATTCAGACAATATTAATAGCTCCCATTTTTACGATAGATCAAAGTAATTGAAACTCAACAGCAAACTCTATTACAACAGAAATTCATGTCGACGGCAGCTTACGCCCTTTTTAACAATCACCAACTTCCAGTGATAAGTGGAATTCAGACCTATGGATATCCCCACAATGGGAGCCATAAAATCCTCCTGATCAAACTGAGCTTATAAAATATTCGAAATATATAGATATAATCAAAAGTGTGTTTCTACTAAACATTTGATCTATCTAGCATATATAGGCTGTAATTTTAACGATATTAATATATTACTCAATTCAGGAAAGAAAGAAACAGAATTGACAGTTGGAGGATATGAACTTTGTGGTATCGTTCCATTCAGCGTACGTGGTAACAATGCTGGTGCAGTGAAACAGTGATAGGCATAGCAGCGGACACTACGATTTAGATGTCTATGAAAAAATTTGCAAAGTCCGGTAGCCGCTATCATCATCTCAGCAAACAACGACGAAACGACGGAAACACTATCAAAATACTTCGTAATCGCCTCAGAAACATGCAGCCTTTGCAGATGAAGCCGCCGAAAACCAGTTACATTGGCATGGACACGAACACTAATCCACGGAAGATTAGATGATAAGACGCAGCAGCAACATTGACTCTTTAAATCGAGCTGTTCTTGCTCGAAGCGAATGGCCATCTGATGGTTGGAAGGGTTTCGAGCGA